TTCTTCCTGGGGAGTCGGTACATGTACATAACACAACTTACTTTTTTTACTGCCTCATTTAAAAAAGCAAAAAAGAATGTCATAAAAATACTGATTGATGAATACTTCTTAAATTTGAATGTGTGAAAAAACTGTCACTCCTATAATTCAGAAAATACGCTGTTTTATCTCCTTACACCCCACATACCTAATATTTTTCTATGAAGTAGTTCTTGAAATGTCACATTGAGTATGAAGAGCTAAAACATTAAAATATAATTTTAAAAAATTAGAAAGGAGCTGTCAGATTGAAGCAGTGAAGTCCTTTACTGGTTGGATGAGAATAAATATGTTGATTTATTTTGCACAAAACACTTCAAATGTGCCTTAAAATATTCCTGAAGAGCTCATTCAAATAAATACCAGACAATTTTATATTTTCTGATCTTGTTGAGCAGTTAAAAGATTTTTAAAGTCAAAATAATACAAAACTTTTTTTTAAATCCAAAAATTGAAACATCCCATCCCCAATACCAGAAAAAAAAAAAAAAGCTTTCAATTTGTTTCAATTTTTGGATTTAAAAAAAAGACGTAAGTAAGGGTACAAGATCCCAATGATGAATATAACTGTACTGTATACCTAAAAAGTACCAATAACTCAATGAGGAAAACAAAATTGCTTCTGCAATGACTGACCAGGAATGTTACCCAAATACAGAAATAGAAACTATCTAGGCTATAGCCACTTTGCTACCAATAAAATTTCTAAGCATGTCAGCCCATGTAACAGTAACATTAGCTATTTACAATTTACAAAGGCATAAATGCACTGACACACCATGGCTGCAAGCAGACAGATAGCAAAATCTGTAGCCAATAAGCACTAATCAAAGAAAATAGGCAGTTATACACAGAGAAGGGAAAGACATACATTTGAAAAGGACTTGTAGATATTATTAATTGGACCATATCATCAATTATGGTTTAATTCATCAGGAAGAAATTTACACTTTCTAATAAGGTGTATATATATCTAATAATAAGGTTTCTAAATATATGTGCTACAAAAATAACTACAACAAAAATAAAAATCTGTTATGATCATTTCATATTTAATGCATTTCTCTTAAAATTAACCATCAACTGGTAAAGGCAATCAAAACTGATAAAGGTAAGGGCCAGGGATTTAGCTCAGTGGCACCATACCTGCCTGGCAAGTGCAAGGTCTGCAGTTCAATTTCCCATACCAAAAAAAAAAAAAAAAAAAAAAAAATTAAAATTTATAAAGGTAGCACAAATTCAACATGCTTCATACATGTTCACTTATTAAGTAATTTATACAAAAAATTAGAGAGTTTTAATTTCTTTCATCACACAAACATATTCTAACAACACAGGTAACACTCCCACAAATCCCAACTTCAGAACATGCCATACATATATCTTACTTTCAAAGGATAAACATTATACGATAATTTTTTTTAAATATGAGGTTAAAATTGATAACTAGCCAATGGCTGAAAACCACATGGAGAAAAATTACATTTATGTAAATTAGGAAAATTATTGCTACTAGAAAATAATCTAACAAAGATCTATAAAACAGATCATCCAATTCAATAAGTTAAAAAACAAAAGAATGTCTTAAAATACGAAAAAGATAAAGCCAGGCAATTCTGAAATTAAATAACACATAGACTCACAAAGTCAGTTAACAAACTACTAACAAGTAGAAAAATTCAGTGATGATTAAGAAAAAAAGTGGAATACCTAAAAATACAACATAAACAAATATGACCTAAACATTAAGAAAAAATTGCTAGTAAATGTACAAAAATTTTAGGCAACATGGATGAATCTCTAAGAAAAACATAGTCAAATGTAGTCTGAATTTTCTTGCAAAGGCGATGTTCCTTTAAATATTTTCAAAATAGTGCTTATTTTCTTTCAAAAATGTTTTACCAAAATTTTAATGAAGAGATAATTGTGATATTGAAACAAAAATATAAATTAGACAGTGGGAGACATTCTTTTTTTAACACGCTTGCATTACACAATGTTTACATTCTCGGTGGAGTCGGTATATATACATAAAACATCTTAATTCCTTTTTGTATCTCCTTCTCCTCTACTTTCCTCCTCCCTCCATCTCTTGATCCCTTTTCCATTTGAGAAAGATCTGTCTCCCAATTTACTATTATCTTTAATTCACTTTTATACTACCATAAAATAATCTTTATAACTAAGACTAGGAGTTTACCACCTGCTTTAACTTATAAACAGATGGTCTATTAAAATATTTACCAATTAAAGTAGACAGTATATAATAGTTGCAGAAAAAGCATCTAGACAAACTTTGAAGTATTTATAAGTATATCTTTCAGCAAGCAATAAATGAAAGGTTCCTTAATTGAAAATTATTTAGAATTGTTTGAGTCAATAATGATATTAATAAATGAAAAAAATATAAAATACTTCATGTTAAAATTAGAAACAAAAAATGTTGCAGTAATGACCTTTTACTATAAATGTGTATTTGATTTTCTGCATATTTCTTTTTCTTTTTCTCTTGTTTTTGTTTGTTTGATACTGAGGACTGAAGTAGGGTCCTTGTGCTTGTGAGGCAGGCAGCAGAACCACTGAGCTAAATCCCCAACCATGTACACGTTTCTACAGTATTGAATAAGTGTAAAATTTTATTCAACTTCATCAAGAAAAAGTATATATGATTTCAAGAAATATATCTAAAATACAAGAATGAATGTTATGAGGAGCACATGCTATCAAAAAAATACACTAAATATTATGACCAGGAGTAGATAAGCTAAATAATATAAAGATGTCAATTCAGCTATAGAAAATGAAATTTCAACTGTGGCTCATTAGGTATTGTTTTTACAGAGATGTTTTTTAGATTATTTTAACATTTGTGTGGAAAAAGAAAAGACTGAGAATAGTTCACAAAAACACTGAAAAAAGTAGTAAACAGGTGGAAAAGCCCTGTCAAAAACTGAGACTTTTAGTCCCCCAATACTTATCAGAACACAGTTATTAGGGAAGATAAGAAGATAGGTAGTCAAATAGATTAGCGAAAAGAAAGAGATCATGAGAAATGAAGAAATATGACATAGATAGATAATATGTATATATAAAACATTGTACAAATTAAAGTGCACTGAGTAAATGATGGAGCATTTAATAAATGGTGTGATATAATTGCCTAGCCACAAGTTAAAAAGAAGTAAATAAAATAGATTCCTGCTGTGCACCATGCAATATATATATATATAATCAATTCTAGAAAAATGAAGGACACTAAAGAAATGGCAAATATACTGAGTCCACCCAAAAATGTATATTTTTTTCACTTCAGGAACAGAAAAATAGTATGATATTTTTTTCAACAGATGCTGTTAGCCTCATATGGAGGACCCTAGAGGATGTTGCATATTGCAGAAAACCCACTAGACCGCTGGCCTTTAGAAAAGAAATTGAAAATGCATGTGGAGTAATCTCAATGACCAGGGTTACCCAGGCAGTAGTTCACCACACTAAAAAAATGTCAGGAAGTCAGTGGCCGCTGCTTTGAGCACCTTTTGTAATTGTAAAGGCCAAAAGTAACTTGTATGACTCTCATGATGTCTCAATAAATTCAGTATTAAACTTCTTTACATTTTTTATTTTCCTAAAGTTTGTATATATATTTTTGGCAGATTCTGTATAAATCATTTTAAAAATGTATCATTATGATGAGAATAGAGAGGTACTTTTTAAAAACAAAAGTGCAAAAGATGAAGAAAAGATACAAATTAGATTTCATGGAAATTTTAAACATTGATTCATTACATACATAAAATGAAAGAAAAGCCACAAACTGAAAGAAAACACTCATAATATAGATAATGAAGCATTCAGATTGCATGGAATGACTGATAGATAACCAAAAGAATAACAAATTACCCATTTGAATTAAATCTGTGAATAAGCATTTGCAAAAAATAGATAAATGGCAAATAAAAATATGCAATATTTAATTAATAATCAGGAAAATCCACGTTAAACTCAATAATATATGATTTCAAATTCTATACTTTTAAAAATTGAAGGAATATCACATGTTCTTGTGTATTTGGAAAAGTAAAAGTAATCATAGATGGGCCAGGGATTTAGCTCAGTGGTTCTGCTGCCTGACTCAGAAGCACAAGGTCCTGAGTTCAATCCCAGTTAAAAAAAAAAAAAAGTAATCGTAGATGATTCAAATGCCTACAAGGATATATATTTTTAAAACTATATCAACTAAAGAAGTTGAAAATTACCATAGCACATAAACCAACAATTTGGGGCTGGGAGGTAGGTAGCTCAGTGTCACCACACCTGCCTGGCAAGCACAAGGTTCTGAGTTTGATCTCTGCCCCTCCAAAATACACATAGAAATTTACCCTATAAAAACATGTTTTTGTTCGTATGGAGATTTTTATATTTTTTAAAAAAGAAAGAAACATATTAGGAAATCAAAATTCTATTGACACCAATATACTGGTGATAATGTGAATTGTAATAAGCCTATAATGTAGAACATATGACAATGAAATACATTATAGTAACAAAATTACACAAATTAATCATAAAAATGAACTGTTGAGTAAATATAAACAACTTGAAAAATTAAAATAAAACAATTTCCACTAAATAAGTGGTAGAATATGCATATATATGCGATATAATCATGACATAATAACATTTATGGCAAACCTATAAAATAGGTTATGGACAAATTTAGGATAAAGTTAAGAATAAATGGCTGCTTCAGAAATTCAGGTAGCAGGCAGCAGGTGCAATGTTTCTTAAGTTGGATAGTGGGTCCCCAGTAAGCATTTATAATTACCTTTCAAACTGTGAAAAAATATTAGATAAGCTTGTTTGTTCTATATCCTGTGTTAAGGAAAAGAATGTGGAGAAAGAAAAACATTCTAATCACGAGGAACTTTGAATTTATTTGATCGTGACATAAAAGTGTTTTGAAGTAATTGAAAGAACACAAGGTCGGAGTCCCCAGGACAAGGATGAAATCATACAAGATGAAAGTTGAGATGTAAGTGGGAGAGAAAACGGGTCATTTGATGATGGTACCTGAACAATATGGAATAGATTACAGAAAACTTAAAGTCCTAAAAAGAACTAGAATTCAAGAAAAGTAAATAAAAAATATCTATTTAGAGGCATTAGAAAACTGTTGAGCAAAGAAGTTAAAAAGAGAACATTAAAATGAAGGCAGAAATGACTAATAGTACTAGTCAGTTTTATAACCTAACACTCGCAACTTAATGGAGAAGTTTATTGGACATAGGTTTCATAGGGGTCGACCCACACTTAACCGGCTCAAAGGCAGAAATGGCATGGTTGAAAGGCATGGCAATGGAAAGCTCTCCAATCCAAGACAACAAAGGAGCAGAGACAGAAGGCCAGGGCCAGGAATAACAATATACATTTCTAGGTTACATTCCAGTGGCCCACCTGCTCTAACCAGTTTTCACTCACTAACAGTACCTTCAGTTATTAGCTCATCAGTGATAGCCCACTGATGAGTATACCACTCTCATGTTCCTATCTCCATCTGAAAGTCCCTTCTCTGAACACAAGAGATTGTAGATCTAAACCACACAGTGATATTATTAGAAGCATCCATATATAAAGTCAGAGTAGAAAATATTCTACAGGACATCTAACTTTTTTTTTTCAGCTTTAATTGAGTAATTCTTTATGACTTTAGAGAGTCAGTGTTCTGAACAAAGGACCTCTTCTACATTAAACAGGTTAGGGAGAGGAAATCAGTTGCAAAGATTTAATCTAGATTAAATAGTAGCCTGGTTAACAAAAATAGTGTAATTTGAGGTCTCAATGCTAGATGATATTTAAAATCTGTTTTGATTTTTCAAGATTGATAAATACATTTCAGTAATTGTTGTAATTAAATATTTTAAAAACAAAAAATCCACACTATCTCACAAAATAAATGAAAAAAGTGAAAATTTTCTTTCAATTTCTTTCGGCTTCTAATGAATACAGAAGGGATGATAAAAATCCTGCATTTTAAAATTCTGACGTTAACTATTGCTGCGGGCAATTTTTGTTAAGGAACAGTCAGTGTCTTCATTATACTTTAGATGAATGTCTATGTTTGGGGTGTAAAACAGCCAGACTTCTAGAGTGTGTTTTCATAGTGCTGATCACTTGAATGTAAAGCAGAAAAAGAGGAAAGGGGAGGAGCAGGGAGCACAGCGGAATGGCAGGGGGGAGGGAAGAGGAAAAGTGGGAGAAAACCATGGCTGACAACTAACTGTATCTAGGCGGTATGGAGTGAAACATTATTTCGAGCTTGAAACCATTTGGTTTGGTAATATTTGACTGAGAGGAACGTCATTTGTCAAAATTAAAACACATATAATCCTCAAACAAACTTGTCAGTATAGAAGAGAAATTACAAGACCAGGCTGATTGGGATTCACAGAGGATAATGCAATATATTAATTAATTATCCAGCATAAGATCTCAGGAACACAAAGAAAGGGTACAACTAGATAGATTATAGAGAAAGATAGATAATATGTACATGATAGAAGATACATTAGAAATCTAATTTATTTTAAATAATGATTAAAGAAATAAGGTAGCACTTAATTAAATCTTTATATTCTTTGTATCTGATGTATTTTATTTTTAACAATCATATTAATGCTGTATGCAAACTAGGAACCTAAGATATTTATACTATATATAGTGGACTAACTGTTTTATTGAAATAAAAATACAGTAGTTTAACAGGAGAAATGGGTTTTGTAATTATTTCCTTCATAAAGTAAAATTTGCTTCAACAAACCATGTAAGGTTATGACTGTCATCATAATGTATTTTCAAAAATGGATGGAGCTAATAAATGACTTGATAGTTTCTCCCCTGAGAAGTGTGCTAGTTTAGGTAGCTTATTTTTACAATTTCTGAGGAGTGCAGATATCACTGAATATCTTGGGGGAATATTAATAAAATGTGGTGACAACCACTTTTAACACTGGAATCACTATCACAGCAGGTCTGACTTCTGCACAATGACTGATCAGGAGATGCCAAGAAAATGATGTTAAATTGAGCTAAAAGAAGTGCAGTTTTCTGGTAATGTCTACACTTACAGAAGACTGTGAACAAGGGACCCAGTGGCAGTTTTGAATATGCAGTAAGCAATTTCAACAAATGATAATGCTATTTTAGGCAGAACCTAAGTAAATTGTTTTTTAAAGGTAGAAGACTAAATATATTCAAAGCCTATCCCAGTACCAAGAATGATTATGCACAAAGCAATTACAAACTTTCCCAAATTCCTGTATCTATTTGTCCTCATTCCTCCCCAATCACTCATGTTCTATGTAAAATAATTTTAAAATATTTTAACTTCCTTGAGCACTTAATATGTATCTTGAGGAATAATTAATGTAATCAAAATATTTGAGAAAGCTATATATGTATTCTTAGAAGTTATACTTTATAAAAGTAGATCTAGAATGAATCAGAAATAATTCTGAATTTTATAATATATTTTATCATCTAATTAAATATTCAGTTATATACTTGTATATTATATATATATATATATATAATTCCATGTCAAAATGTTAACTAGATTGGATATCTCATTATTGCAATTCATAGGGAAAAATCTCATTTTCAAAGATATTGGGTAAGTTCACTTAATACCTGAACAACAACAAAATGTCTTGTAAATCATTTTGTACCGCTCTTCAGGAATGTGATATTCTGGATCCAATCCAGATTTTAGGATTTGGTGTGAATTGATTAAAAATCTAAATCTCATTGTTGCTGTGCACTTATCTATATGTGATGAAATTCTATCATTTGTGGTAACACAGAGAAAACTGGAGGACATTATCTTAAGTAAAATTATTCAAGCACAAAAAGACATAAATATCTGTCCAGTCTACACCGTTCTTCATAAATATAAGTGACTTGAATTAAATTTCTAATTCCATAGAATGATCTAAGAATTGTCTATAAGATGTGTGGAGTCTTTGTAGCCTGCTATTCTCTTTGTTTATATACAATTGTTTTTTATAATAATAGGGTTTCTCTGATTATATACATTTTTTAATGATTTTAATGATTACAGTCTATGTTTTGGTTGTCTGTCCTAGTATATATTTTTATGTAGCCATTTATTTTCTAATTTTTATTTTATATTTAAAGTGTTTAGTTTGCATATGATTGTGTTGCCCTGAAATGTCATGCTTCCTTGAATTTTTAAAACCATTTTTTCTATGAATTGCAATAACCAGAATATATTCCTGTCATTATATGTATGAATTCTTGCTATAGTCTTAGGATACATTCCTACTGACTCCTATATTGTTTAGCTTGAATGCATGTGACTTAAGTTTATAATATGTGATCTTCAAGACTGAACATCAGGCCTCCAGGAAGAGCAGCTAAAGTTGCAAGTGCTACAAGTAAAACCTTAAGAGATTCTTTCCTCACTCCAGTTGCTTTCAGTTTCAAGTCTGAGCCAAAATTACACTCGAGAACTTTGTGCACGTGCAATTATCTTTAAATCGAACACTGTACTAGTTTACTTGTTCCAAGCCTATACTCTTCTAAGAATGATATACTACGTCTTCTGAAACCAGTGCTCTAGGAATAATAATAGCTAAGTCATACCGCATAGGGGAGACACACATGCATGTGTCTCTGCCATCATTAAAGATGAAATATGGTCACACTTTCTCTGTGTATGACTTGAGTGCAAAGCTGATTTCTCATACACAATAATGATTGATTTTAGTGAAGAAAATTAAAATATGTCAATTACACATTTTTGTGCCAAATGAATCTTTTTACAAGAAAAAAATGTACATAGTCTCTTCTACTCATTATATACCCAAAGATCTATCAGATGCCTTTCTATGACAGCTAACCATGAATTCTAGAGGTTTTGGGGTTTCATCCAGGAGGGAAAACAAGTATATACCTCAACTATTTTATCAGAGTCACATCAACTCTGGCTACTCATCATAATCTGTGCCAAAGTGGGTTACCTTAGGTACGTCAAGCAATACATGACTTTTGAAATTGCCTCTCTGATTCACTGATGGAGTAATATGCAAACTCCATTTGTTGGATCAGAGCAGGTGCAGCGCAGCTGCTCTACTTCTTGACCAGAAGTGGATGCAAGGATGCTGGTGTGAATAGCAGAGAACCAAGCTACATAGTGGTAAATCCAAGATGAGCCCTGTATGTGACTCACAGAGCAGTTATTTAAAATTTCAGAACATAGCAGTGAAATACTCTGCAGGCGACCATTCTGCCTGAACACATTCCGTGTTGCCTTAGTATTCACGTGGGGCACAAAGGAATTCCTGTAGACTGTGTCAACTGGAATGCCATGAACTTGATGTGGTCTGATCCACTGTCAAGTAAAACCAAGCACAAACAGCACGCAAACAGTCCATTATCAAGTGAAGCAATAGGTAGGAGTCTGGGCTCAAGCAGGCCCTATAAGCATGAAGCAGTTCTGTGAACAACTGGTTCTGCTTATGGAGCTTGCTCATTAATTTCCCTTCGCCCACAGATTCACCTCATAGAAGTTCCCTGGAAATAGATGATTGAAGAAAAAATGAGCCTGATTTCCAGATGGTTCTTTATGATAAGTTTGAATCACTTGGAACTGCTTTGTGGCAGCATGATATTCCCATTTAGGGTTGCTCTGGAGGAAAGGGGAAAAGCCCTCGTCCAAGGAGGTAACTGCAACCGGCGTATCTCTTCAAATTCAGTGTGGAGAAAGAGAACACTCCTCCACATTAGAGGCCTGAGTTCAAATGCTAAAAATAAATTTTGGAAATGTATTTGTTCCTGTGTTCTCCAAATGTATATTTCATACTGGTACCAAGTGATGTGGCACCATCACAAGATCCTTTTAAAATTTAAAGATTAAGGGCACTTTTGATAGGGTGAACACTTTAGTTCTTCCTTTAAGTGAAATGTCTGTCTCTGGAATTTAAACATTATCTTTCCGGAACAGAATTATAACATGAAATGACGTTTTAGTCCCTAAACACAGATTCCATATGACCTTCTTTTATTTCTATTTTTCTTGAATACTATTTATTAGTAGCCCACTGAATAGTAAATTACTAAATTATAAATGAATAAAGCATTTCCTCATCATTAATCATGCTAAAAATACTGACAGCCATTGTAGATGTTGTTTTGGAAAGGAGCCAGATCACAAACACAGGCACCTAAGATTTAGCTTCTTAAATATTTCAGGATAGTGTCAAACATGACTTTTAGAAATTGAATTTGTACTCATCTAACCTTCAAGTAGTTTAGTGTCATAAATGAGGTTTGAAAATTCTACTATAACACCTGACATTTTAACAGTAAATCAATAGATTATCATAAATCTATGCTATATAATATCCACAAGTAAACATATACAGAAAAAATACAAATATAATTTGTTAAAACAAGTCTACCTATTATTTCACTTTTAAATTTCTTTTATTTTTACTTTTAACTTTTAACATTCTTTATTTAATGTCTTCTCAAAGTTTAAACACCAGACTATTTCTGTGTTAAAGCTTGGAAATGTGAATTGCCCTTGCACGATAATTCCCCTGTGTGTCACTAACTACTGGTAATCAACTCCATCTAAAAAAAACTGAAGTAAGTGTCAGTCTCTACAATGAGGCATGTGAAACACAAGAAGCTTAAAACTTGGAGCATTAGTATTATTTGAGTTCATAGCGGTGAAGAACTCTGTCTAGTCATCATCTTGTTTGATGATGCTCAGAGACAGAAAGGAGAAATTCCAAAAGAAAAAAAATCGGAGCCATCAACCTCACTGAAGCACCCAGATAAACTGCCCCAAATGCTATGGGATTGCTTAGAATTCATACATCATATTCTTTCATACCATGGCATCTCCCTGACAGCAATGTCAGTATATGATATCAGAATTAATCAGTTCCAGATCTGGAATTACAAGGTGATATACATTGCTTTCAGGTCTAAAATTTGCTTCTTGTGCCTGAAATTCTGGAGCTAAAAATGAATGTAACTATTTCGGTAACACCCAATATCACATAATAGATAGAAAACAAAATCACCACAGTAAAACCTGCCAGTTAGAAAATCAAACGGAGGAAATAACACATTATGTTGCAGCTACTTCTGGAAAGTGATCACAAATATTTGTGCCATGGTATGCAATCAAGAGGTTTCTTTACTGACAGATTTGCCTGTCCTTGGTTCTGCAATTTGAGACAGTATCTCTCTTCTGCTTAATTTACTACCCATTTCCCCAACTGAAAGATACATGGGGGTGCTTTGTCATGTGGAGAAGTTATTAGTTTCTTACATAATCAACCCCTGTTCCTATAGGTTCAAGGATTACGGGTCTCCTCTTGGAGGTTGAATAGACACTGTCTTCTGTTTTACAGTGCTGGGATTTCTCTCACCATACATCTTTGAGTGACTGTCTACAGTAGGGGTTGTGACCAAATCCATCCTACTGTGTGTTTTTATGTAACATGCTATCAAGGAATCCTGATTTTTATACTTAAATTGTTCTTTAAAATTAAAAAAAAACTATTTTAAAACATAAATTTAAAAATCCACAAGTAAGGTTTTATTGAACATAGTTAAACTTACTTATTTCTATATTATCTTGTTGCTGTTTTTCCACTCTATGAGCAGAGTTGAATTAGTTGTGACAGAGACCTGTGACAGGTGAAAGTTAAATCACTTACCAATGGATATTGCAGAAAAAAAAGTTGATGGTTCCTGATCTAGGAGCTAGCAAGGCACCTTTTGCATTTAGCGGTGGATTTCATAACCAATGAATTTCCTCAGCACTCGTCTAATAGAAATTTCTTTTGGAAATTGTCTTTTAAAGCATAAGAACATTAATTTTTTACCTGAAGGCATCTCTACTGGCTTATCAATGGTGAGGAAGGATGTGGAAATGGAATGGAGGCCAGATAAGCCCCTACCTGTTCTTGGGCCTGATCATTTTCTTTCTGCCTTCCTCTGTAAGTCTAGGCATTACTTAGAGAGAGAGAGAGAGAGTGTGTACACATACACACGGGATAGGGAGAGTGAAGGATGTGGTTGGGAGAGTGAATGATTGCTTCTTTATACTGACAGAGCCCTTTCTTTTATAAGAGTTTAGGTTCCTGTAAGTCCTCTGCTGGTTTCCTCAACCTGGGCTCAGACTACATCCCTGTAGCATCTAGTTGGAGCAAAAACCCTGTTAAATCAGCTGAATCAACAACCCTTGCCTTCAATATCTGATCACCCTTAATACTTGGCCTGCCATCCAGAATAATCCTATCATGTCAGATTATCAGAAGCCCACACTTACCTTTCCTTTTGGTAATTTTCCATCCAAGGGCCCCACCCTGTCATTAGTTTAAAAGCCCTCCTTGTTGGAGTGAAAGTCTAATCCACTCTCTCTTGTGATTTCCCTCTCATAAAGTTTTCATTTTTAACAAGCATTAGAATTTTGTTCTCTAACACAACCAAATAAATGTCATCATTGTGTAACTCAGAGCTGTCCTACATCTGGCACGAGGCTAAAAATCTTCTTTTACAATGGATTGTATCCTATCATTTCCTTTGCTTTCAAATATGCCAACATAGACTGCTCAGAGTTTCTCCCCTGTACAGCTGCAGTGAATGCAGTAAAAAGTAGTCAGCATATTTGAAAGCCCTGACATACTTTTACTGGTCTCCTAGAGCTCCAAAGTTGGTAGGCAAGAATATGAATTCCAGGTTATTATAGCTGACAGTTTAAACAGCTTGTTGTTTTGCTAAGGTTTAACCAAGTTTTTTATCCTCCCTGCTGGGGACAGAGAAAGAGTATGTCCCACTGCCTGCTTTCATTATGCCCTCTCCACAAGTCAGGGCTTTTATTCAATCTTCTTTGTCATATGGTAAGGGTTAGAGTATTCTGGATGTGTTGGGCTCTAAGTACAGAACATAAGACTAAACTTATTCTAGGAAAACTGGGGTTTTATTTGCACAGGAAGTTGGGTCTTAAAGTAGAATTGTCATTGATTTACTTAGAGATAAAAAGGAATAATATAATGGTTCAATCAAAAGTCATCATCTCTCCCTTCACTTTCCACCTTTGCATTCTTTTTTTTTTTTGGCTTTGTTTTCTGGGCAATTTTCTTCATATCATTAAATATATGCTTATGCTTATAGGTGGCTGCATGAATTTATTAATCAAGGAAAGAAGACAGCTATGCCCATATAAACCTGAAAGCAAATTTGATTAGTCCTGGTTGCATTGCCTACTTCACTGCACACGAGTTAATGCGTTTAATAAAATGGAGATGCTTTGATTGGCTAACTGAGCCATGTGACTTGACCCAACATCAGATGGGGATGGGATAGTTTCCCAAGTGGAAAGATAAACATCCTTCAATTTATGGTGTTCTATGGATAACTAAATACAGTATTTTGGAATACAGTTTGGCAATGTTTTCAAAATTTAAAAAGAACACTAATATTTAGATATTGCTGGAGTGGATTGTAAACTTGTTCCTCTGTTATTTAGGCCTTCAAAGATATTGTTTTTATAAATAGTTAAAACAAAGTAAATTTCCATCAGTAAGGACTGGCAAATTAAAAAGATTTAATAAAAATGTCACACCTAAAATATAAATAATAAGCAACATTTAAAAATACATATTTATGTAATTAACTTTAGGTACACTCACATGTAGAAAAAAGATTAATGTAATACAATATATTCTGCATGGTATTAAGTTTATGTATAAAGGAAATTATATATCTCAAAGTTGTATATATATTTAAAAGCAAGAAAAATGACAGAATTGTCCAAATAAAAAAGGCATTATATCTAGGACATTATCTTGGGGTTTTTTTTAGACTTACCCCTGAAGTTTAAGCTGTAATTTTACACACGGATTGATTTATAAACTGACTAAAATGAATTCTTGTTTAAAAAGAACAATATGTAAATTGTAGATTAGATATTATTTCAGAAAAATCTGAGAAACTATTTAAAAATTATTTGGATCTTACAGTGTAATTCCTTGTCATAAATTTCATATATATAAAATCAATAACTTTCTCTACAAGAAGTATAAACAGCAAAGGTAGAGGATATTAAAACATGAAGTTCAAATTTATAGCAGCAATGAAAAAGATGTAACACCTAAGGGGAAATGAAATATATCTATCTATACTGTGAAAATTGTAAAATACTTCTTAGAAATCAGAAAAATTTCAAAAACGGGATAAATAACCACAGCAAGAAATGAAACATCATTAGCATATATAGTTTTTAAAATTGTTATGTGAAAGTCTTTAAACAGCTTTTATGAAAATTATATTCATTCCCAAAATCGTATATAAGTGGGGTTTAGGTAGATGAGAAAACATGTATGAATATATTGACAAATAAACACAGATTCAAAAAAGAGCATTCAATTTTTTTATAGATTAAGTTCTCATAGAGAAAAATGTTATGAACTTTGGAGGAGATACCAAAAAATCATGCACAATGCCTTCTAGGTATAGAATGTGGCCTGAAATATAAATAACTTCACTGAAGAAAATGCTATTGTATCTACTACATTTCAATGACATATTCCCAGAGTACAAATGCAAAGCACTATTTTTCCAGATTGAGTTGAAAATAACCAAGAAGCAATCTAAAAGACTGGAGCTATAACTCAGTGATATGATGCTCACTCACATATCATGTTGTGTGGAGGCTCTTGGGTTGATCTCCAGCACCATGGGAGAAAGAAAAACCAAACAGGTA